AAATACAAACTTTGTTACAATTTAAATGAGTATGAAACAACTCCTGGATATGCTTTCACTCTGACATTACACAGTTGAGTCCATTACAAACTGAGTCCTGCCTTCTGCCTTCACTGTGTATCGGTTCTGGAGCTTTCCTAGGTGTAGGTGAGTAGAGTTTCTAGAATCTCAAAACAGTGGTATTTGTCAAGGTAACACCAGTGCTGTGCCTTGCCCAATACACAGGTCTGAAGATAAAAACAGATTGAAAGAACGCGAGATGAATTTCAGTTCTATTCAGAAGCAATTCTAAAGCATTTTGAAGACTTAGATTTATGACTTTTCCCTTGCTCTTATATATTTCAGGGCCAACTTTCATGTTCCATTTTCGACAACCCAGATAGAATATTGAGATATGCTTGGTAGTGAATATGAGAGGTTATGAGAAAAAAAAAATTCTACCAAAGAAATAAATTGAAAATCGGTTTTCTTTTTATTGTGGTAAGACCAGAAGGAAGGGCTGGGAAAATCCACAAAGGAGGAGAGATTTTGTTCCTATGCACACTGGATTGCCCAGAATGGCACTGATTCAAACTCTGAAAAAAAAAAAAAAAAAGAAAAAGAAAAAGAAAAAAAAAAGAAAAGAAAGAAAAAAAAAAACTCTGCTTGTGACCCAGTCTAGATTTAGAAAAGCTGAGCTCTTTAGTAACAGTGAGAAAAATTACAAAATTTGTTTATTTCTGTTGATTTTTTTTCTTCTTATACATTTGTGGATCGACACTGTATTTTAAAGTCTATCCAGGAAAACAGCACAAATACAAATGTGGATTCACAAATCAAACCTTCAAAAGGGACTCTTCACTAGAAAAATCACCTCAAGAAGAAAGTTTAAACCACTTTGTCTTAATGCACTAAGACCAAACTCAAAGAGCCCCCCAATATAGTCTTGCCAACCTATGTCTAACCTTGCTAGTTTTTATTGCTGGTTTTGTTCTGTTGTTGAAGTGGTGGTGGTTATTATTTTGTTGTTCTTGTTGCTGTTACTATTGTTGGACTATGAAATTCAACTTAAGTATCCAAAGAGCAAAACTGTACAGTGGTGAACTGATTAAAGCAGAAAAGTCCCACAATCCCAGCATTAAGGCCAAAGGAAATTAAAACATACTCAAATAGCAGCATGCACTCATAAAAAAGCTCACAACTGGACTGAATAAGAAATATTGATCTTCAGCTTTGAATATTCTTACTTTGGCTACTATGCATGATTGGGGTCAGTACCCTCTATGCTGGAATTCCTTTGAAGGCCTTGACTCATATAGACAGAACATCAGGTTCAGGGTAACTTTATTTAAGTGAACTACATCTGAGCCTGCTTACAAAAGAACCAAGAATATTCTTATTGAGTAAAGGAGTGGAGATATTGGAAAGAACAAACAGGAAAATTACTGATGTCATCAATGCTTTTAAAAATTGCAATAGGTGTGATGGGTAAAGTTTTATTTAAATAGACTTGAGTAAATGAAAATTGTCTCCATATCTTGTTTAAACTTCACTGATCCATTTACATTCATTTCTTTTCTAAATACTATTCAATATTTGGAATATTATTCATTGGAAATAACTATAAAACCTTCCAAATATGACCCTAAAAATAGCCCATTAAAAGGTGCTTTTTGTCTTTGTACTTGAATTTAGCTGGTGACTCTGGCCTTTTACATGCCAAGCAGTGCTTTCAGCTGAGTAAAAGAATTCTAAGACTCCACTGGCTTTAGGTACTTTGTGCAAATGTTTCTGATTTAAAAATAAAATTCCAAATGCTAGAAAATAGAAAGGCTCTTTGTATACTAGACAAAAATCAGTGTTCTCCCTTACATAGGGTCCTGTCTTTAGCTTGAAATATTTGAAAACTAACCTACACTTCAGACACAAAATGATTCAAAGAGACTTTGAGAAAAATAATCACCTAGTAGCAATATTTTTAAGATATTTGTCTTTAAAGATTCTGAAGGGAAGGCAAGTACTGGCCTACAGAGAAACCAAGAGATTTCAGGGACATGCAGGAAACTTTTGGTCCAGATCATGGCTCTAGAAACAAGAATCAAATTCTAAGCTSTCATCCTTCTGCTGTATAAGTGAAATCATTTTTTCTTCAATTCTACACAAAATTATTAACAGTCTTCTACACTGAACCTTCCTCTCTGCAAAAATAGTTTTTGCTTGCAAGGAACCTATTATCCATTAGCAAGTGTGTTTATTCTTAGTGAACAAGCTTCTTCCACTTCAAAGAGCTATGCTGCCTTTACACACAAGATCCTTCTGATTGCTCGAAGATGAACACAAAGAAATTTATTCTTTAAGCTTTGMGATGTTCAACTCAAGAGCCAAGACTCTGGCCATTAAAGAATTTGTGGGTTAGTCTCATAAAAATAGAGCATCTTCTGTATCTGTCCTCAGGTGCCACAGCACCATCCATGACTTTCATTTAAAAGAAAAACAGAAGCCAGGAAAAAGGAAATTTCTCTCCAGGGAACTTTAGTGACATAATCAAAACAAGTAAAAAAATATGAACGTCAGATATTCAGACAATAATTCAGCCTACAGCAGCAGTGCTGATAATCCCTTGAATGAAATCTTTCTATTCTTTTGTTAATCATCCTGCAGTCTTGGATGAAAAAAATAATTAAACTATACTTTTTCTTTAAATTACCATACAACCTATGTATTTAAACTTACATTTTTTATGGAAACTATATAATAAACCGTTCATTAAAATTTTCCTTGTTGATGTATGCAAACCAGGTCAGTTTCTGCTGGATTTGCATACTTGGTTTTATCCCTAATTCAACTTCTTGTTAAAGGTTTAAAATGGAGAAAATGTCAGATTACAAATAAAGCAAATACTGCTAATATGTCTAGTGAACACTSACACCATTTACAGGTTTTCCCCCTCTTTTCCTTAGGGTAGAGAGCCCTGTCAATAATCATTACTTATTAAAAAGGCTGCCATTCCCTACTACAGGATGTAGAAAGAGAGCACAGAGAGGCAGAAATAATTACCTTGGGCTTTTCTTTAAAGACCTCCCAAGAATGGAATGAAAGGAAATCAACTAAGAACATGAAATACCCCCATCATGTGCCATCTCTCCACACGCGCATACACACATGGTTGGGAAGTACACCCACACTCCATTATTCATATCAACTGCATCAAAAGGATTAAAAAAAAATCTGGGGTCTTCCAGAGAGACAGACACCTATTTTCAATCCATTGAATATGCTCATACTACACTTGCAAATCCTTTATCCCTCCACAAAACTCAAGCTAGATTTGCTAAAAGGAGTCTCTAAGCACCTCCTGAGAAAATGTGCTCTTAGAAATGACTGCTTCAACCAAAGCAGAGAAGAGCTGCAAGTTACTGGCTCTACTGCCATTCTGGCTTGTGGCAGATTCCTTCCTTCCCCTTTCCTTCCTGTCTCCCAATTCATCTGCTAGCCTCCCCCGCCCCCCATAGCAGAGTATAGGCAAAAGGACTTGATTCTGGAACTTACTAACAAGTACACAAATCCTATCTTTTAAAAAAGTTTCAAGGGTTAAATAACACCCTTGGTAAGATCACAGGTAAGTGATGTGAAAAATTACCAGATTACTGAAAGCAAATCTGGTGTTTTTACCAGCACGGAAGAGTTAATGATGAGCACTCTTTCTTTCCCCAGATGTTAGGGCTCAAAACAGAAATACAGTATCAAGACAGCATAACCTGACAGTTTTTGCAGAATAGGCTTGCACAGAACTTGAACTGGCATGCTGGGGGTTTGTCCTAAATAACCTTCACAGGTTGCACAAACTGTTCCCATATCCTGATCAATAGTCAGATAAAAAAGGTTCCTGAGAATTCTTTAGAGTAAGAATAAGGTGAGGGGTGGGGGTGGGAGGTCAATTAGCTACCTAAAACGTTAATAAAAATAGAAAACATACACCTCCAAAACATAAGATGCTGTTTTGCTTTGGGTAATCTGGCCAGTACTGGCACCAATTGCACCCAGGATGAACATGCTACCTCCTAAGGGTGACATGTTTCAAAAGCATTGGATGTTCTCACCCTCCAGTGCAGAGAACTCTGTCCCAGAACGCCTATATTTTACAGGAACTGAGAGGAGATGAGGTTCACACCCCACCTTTGGGAAAGGAACAAAAGCTAACGCTTGGCAGAAGTGTGTATTGGGGTGGGAGGGGGACCCTTCTCTTTCCAGAGGACCTTAGAACCCTAGAGGTGGCAACTCTGCAGGGCTCCTTTCATATATCCTTCTAGTTAACTCACAGTCAGTGGACACAGAATCCAACAATCAATTTTTGTACCTTGGAATGGCTACCGAAAGGCTGAGGGGTGATCACTTTAGCCCTTTGCCAGGATCATCTCCTTTCCCTACCTCCCCCAATGGTTTCTAATTAACCCTTCCAGGTCCCTGCCTGGGCTGGAAGCGTCTTCCCTACATTCTACCAACACCCCCAACAAATAGCCATTCCTCATGGGACATAACTTCCCTTTGTGGTTTACCCTCGGTCAATTTGCRAGTGCTTTTGTCCCCTTCCTTCCCAGCAGCGGGCGGGGAAAGGGTTGGGAGCTTTGGGGAAGGCCCACCCTCCCTCCGTAACCCTCTAAAGGAACCGGATCCGGGAGCTCGCCGGCAGGTCTGCAGTGAGAAGGGATCACACTGGAGTTAACCCTTTGAAACGAGTTGGGAGATCGGTTCTCATTTGGGACCCACTAAAGTAGGACCGGTGGAGCTTGAGGATCTACCTCTCTTTCTCATCCCCCAGACTCCACACACAGTCCCACAACAGGCCGACGCCTTTACCCTCCGTGTGACCAGTTGGAACCATCTTCCATGCTCTGCCCCAAACCTGGGATGGCGGGGAGGGGCAGGGGGGTGTTAAAGACAGGCAGCTAAGGGGAAAGACAGCAGGAGAGCAGAAAGGAAACTCGGTAGTAAATTATAGTTGAGACAGCGTGTTTACTTACGAAATTTGGGGCTGGTGATAGTTTCTGGTGTAGTGGTGGTGGAGGAGGAGGAGGAAGAGGAAGAGGAGGAAGAAGAGGCGGCAGCATCCTGAAAGGGAGACAGGGTCCAGGAGGGAGTAGAATCATGAAGGTAGGAGGAGGTAGCATATGCCGCAGTGGGCCAGGAGGGCATCGCCTGGGTACTGGGGGTTCCTGGCACTGGGGGTCTGGAGCCCGGCGTGCTGCTACTGAAGAAAGGGACGGTGGTGGACAGGACCGTCGGGGGGACCGCAGTGTTCCGTGCTGTGGTGGAGCGCGGGCTGGCCCGGATAGGCACTCGGTGCCCGGGAAAGCGAGTGGGTGCCCGCGTGATAGTGGTCAGGCGAGTACTAATCCGGTTGGGCGTCCTGGAGGAGGCGGCGCCGGCGGCGGAGGGGGTGGCGGGGGACGTGGTTGAAGTGGTGGTGGTGGTGGTCTCCATGGCCTTGGGGAAAGAGCTGGGCTTGGAAAGGAAGAAAGGGTCCTGGCCCATCCCCTTGGAGTCCACCAGGTCGGTGGGCACGTACTCCTTGACGGAGCCCACCACGATCCATTTGAGGAGCATGAGGCTGAGCCCCAAGCCGATGAAGCCGATGAACAGAGGCACCACGCACAGCCACGTCTGCTGCCGGTTCCACACGATGCAGTCGCTACAGCGTAACTCCCGGGGGGGCTCGGCCGCCCCTTCGCCGCCGCCGTCCGGGCCCCCGCCCGCCGCCGCCGCCGCCGCAGCCGCCGCGGTGCCCTCCTCGGCCGAGGCGGCGGCTGCCGAAGCGGCACCAGGTGGCGAGGCAGCGGCCGCCCCTTCACTCATCCTAGGAGCCGGTCTTCACCTTCGCCCCCCCGAGGGCCGCGCCAGAGGCATGGGGCCGCGCGGGCCGGGCGCGGGCGCGGGCGCGGGCTCCGGCGGCGGCGGCGGGCTCGGGCTCAGGCAGCGGCCGCGGCGGCCGCATGCAAATCGGCTCCCTGCCCCCACGCCCCTCCCCCCGAGAGGCGGGCGGCGGGCGGGGAGGAGAGGAGCGGGGGAGGGGACGCGGCCGGGGAGGGGGCGGTGAGGATCGCGGAAGAGGGGCGAGAGCGGCCCCCCGGCGCCGCCGGTCGGTCAGGGAGCGGTGGGGCGCGTTTGCAGCCCGCCAAGCGGCCTCCTGTGCGCCGGGGCCCCGYGCCCGCTGCTGCTGCTACTGCTGTCGCTGCAGCCGCTGCTGCTGCTGCCCGCCGCCTGCGTGCGCTCCAGCCGCGCCGGCATCCTCGGGGCGCCGCGCCCGGCCCGCTCCCTGGGGCGCCCGCCCGCGCCGCCGCCGGGCCGCGCACAGCCTTCAGAGGCCGAGCGGGCTGGCCGCGGGGTACCCGGCGCCGGTGGACCGCATTCCGACACAGGGGGCCGGCCTGGCCGCCGCTCGCCTAGCCCGGCRCGCCGCGTTCCTCGGCGGCTGCTCGGCGAGCCCGGGCGGTGAGGTGCACCTGTTCTTCAGCCGGCCCACAGCCAACCCTCGGCCAGCACTCTCCGGGAGAGACCAATCCGAGCACAGCGCGGAGGGCGAGCGGCCGGGCTCGCCTCGCTCCCGCCGCCCGCGGCTCCGCGCCGCCACTGCCGCCGCCGCCGCCGGAGAGTCAAACTCCAGCGAGTGACGCTGCCAGTGCCACGACCAGGGGCCGGGGGCGCAAGGGGGTGCCCGCAGGAGCAACCCAACAAGCAGGCAGAGAATTCAAAATCACGCTAAGGCGCCGCAGCCAGGTGGAGCTTGGGGAGCAAAAAGCGGGAGAACGCGTCAGGGGGTCCCGAGCRAGGCAGATCCCGGGCCAAAGGCGGTTCCAGGCAGGCTCTGACAGCCAGGCGGGTGCGGGTGTGTGTGCGGAATCGCGGCGGACTGGTTGGGATTCGGGCAGAGTAGCACCTCCCACCAACACCTAATGGTGGTTTCTTAATGCACACAAGATAGATAAATGATCCAAGCAAAACCCGGTTGGCGATGTGTGGCAAAAGCAGTTCCCGACCGATTGTGAGAAGGTCTCCTGCGCGGATCCAGTGGGGGTCAGAGGCTGACGCTGCGGGGCGAACGATTGGGGGCGTGTACGGGTGGGAGGGTGCTTGTGCCATCCGCTGCCTAACTGCGTGCCATGGGTGCGGGATGCAGAGCCACCTTTGCCTCTGAGTTCCTGAGAGGAATGCTGGTGAAGCAGACGACCTTTGTGTGATCAGACCTGTCAGATCTCTCCAAGCCATTTATAACTTGCCTTAAAAAAAAAAAAAAAAAAAAAAAAAGGATTCTTTTTTCTTTAAATGTACATGTGCGCACAGGTACACACGTCACAAGACAAGCACATTTGAGAGAAAAATGTAAAACGATTTGGGTTGGTTATCTGAAATTCCGATGCCGGTTCTTTCCCTGGTGTAGGCAGGCACCTGAGTGCTTGTATCTCAGGTGCAACGTGGTACCTGTCTGGCGGTCAGGGTGGCATAGAAAAGAAAGAAGGGTAAAGAGCATTATCAGCATGGTATATGCTGATGGTGCAAAACCTCGCTTGCCTACTCTCCCGGTATTTCCTAGTCGAAAGTAGAAACCAAAGAGATGTTTTTATTCACAAGTGCCAAAAAGGAGAGGTTGAGAATGACAGTGTCCTAGTACACCTCCCTAGCACTGTATGGAGCAGATGATGGAGCCAGCGTCCTCTTGTCCTGTCATACTCTCAGCAAAATGAAGTTTTCACGCGGTATCCATTTTATTCACAGGTGAAGAGGGGAATGGCACTCTGAGGAGATGGCAGAGAGCAAAGGATGCATTGAATCAGGAAGCCCCTGGGGTTTTGTGCCTACAGAGTTCTTTGTACAGACACAGTTAATAAATTATTTTTGGTGGCAGTAATATGACTGTCACCTTTTTCAGCTATAACATTGAGACTTCTCCCATAGGAAAGCTTTTGGTTTTTAGTTTGATGGAACATGCCCTAATCCAGTAGAGCTGAATTATGGTTCTAAAAATTGCAAGTAAAAGAAGAAAAAAGGCCAGAAACTCTTGAATCCACATTCYGTCAACTTTCTAATGCAAGGCATTGTCCTCTTAAGTCAAAAATTGATCCAGTCCCCACCTTCTGTAGGTGCTGGGCATTTACTCTCAACCTTTCCTACATAGCAAATCAAAATGTCTGTACACTTCAGTAGATTGCTGTCACATATTTGAGACAGAAAATTACTTTTCCAGAATACTCCTAGTGTACTTCTTTTTCCCCCCAGTATTCCTGTGTGGGGAATGGATTTTACCAGCCCATCCAAGAATGCTTGGCTAGTATAAACATTAAATTGTGGTTTTACTGTGAGGCTTTCTGGTAGCAGGTAGTAAGGACTGAAATTGGAATTGGGGAGGGACTGTCCACAGTGGAGACAAGAGACAAGTGGTGGGCTGTCACTGCTCATGAGCTGCCAGTTCATAAGTCCCCCAGTAAGGAGGAGTCTCATTCCAGTAACTCACAGCTCACTGAAGCAAAACACTGGATTAGGAGCATCTAGCTTTGAATGAGGACAAAAATCCATGTTAGAGTTATGCCCTTAATAGCTATAAAATCACTTTGAGCCAGTTTCCTCAGTTGCGAAATGGAACTGCTATACCTACATACTATACCAAGTATTTGAGATTGTATAGCTAAAGGGACTATTCACGTATGGCACCTTTTAAGCACCATTATCAGATACCTTTCTAAAACGAGGCAGCTGTATGTGTTATTCTACTACAATTCAATTTTTTTATTTTTTATTTTTTTTGTAAAATGGCATCAAAATTTCGAGACTGAGAGGCTCTGAATCCTTTCCACTCCCATATCCCAAGTTCAGTTGGTCGTCAAGTTATTTACCTTCTGTCTTTATGGGATGATTGTCTAGGGACCTCAACATGAAAAACCTTTGATGAAGTCTCATGTCTAGAACCACAGAGATGAAATGATATTAGTGGCCAAACACATCCAATCTGTGATCCTATAATATGCCCAGCACAAAACGTCATTTTAATTCCAATGGAGCTGTATGGAAGATGTCACTTCCTGGGGAAAACCACCCCGCCTGTCCATAGTACACATCATTTAAAAACATTTCTTGTTGAGCTAAAAAATTTGCCTTCCAATTCTCTCACTGTTTCTTTTTACCTCATTCAATACAGAAAATTTCCAAAAATTGGGTGACAGACATAGAGATATAAGAGAACACAAAATAAAGGTTGCTACCTTCTTGAAGCTTCTATTGTAGTGGGAAAGACTCACAGTTAACAACCAAAACAGGTAAATTATGTAGTATATCCAAAAATGTGCAGTTTTGGACCACGAAGAAATTGCCTAGTCTGCATGATTATTCAGGACCTCTCCTCCAATCCCAATATCCCTAATCAACTTACTATCCCCTCCATTGCCACTAGAACTTAAAACAATGACCAGGGCGATTTTTTTTTTTTTTTTTTTTAATAAACAGGATTCTCTAGGTAGAGTAGTCACTTTAGCAATCAGTCTGTCCGCTGGGCATAGTGGTGCACGCCTCTAATCCCCACAGCTAAGGAGGCTGAGACAGGAGGATCACAAGTTCAAAGCCAGTATARGCAACTTAGGGAGGCCCTTCTCAAAAATGAAAACAAACAAAAAGGGCTGGGGAATATGACTCAGTGGTTAAGCACCCCTGAATTTAATCCCTGGCTCTGAAAAAAAAGTCTGTCCTGCAAAGTACTAATATATTTTTWAAAAATTTTTTAGTTGTCAATGGACCTTTATTTTATTTATTTATATTTACATGGTACTGAGGATCGAACCCAGTGCCTCACACATGCTGGGAAAGTTCTCTACCCCTGAGCCACAACCCCAGCCCCTAATATTATTTTTAATGTCCACTGGAGTCATGTATATAGTCCGTGTGAAACCTCAACTCATTTCACAGAGTAAATATGAGACAATGGATAAAGTTCACCCTCTTCCATATGGTTACCTATTTCTTCATTCTTTCTTGGTTTTGTCCAGGGCTGTGAATAGAATAACAAGCATTCTGTTGTAATTCTGGTGGCTATTTAAAAAGAAAAGCTGATTATTTTCTTCTCAGGTGTCAACAAGTAACCTAATTTTTATGGTTTCTTGTGTGCTCTTGAAGCCTCTTGATGTAAACAATCAACACAAAAATGTACTAGAAAACTTCCCCAGCATGGATTGCACTATTCATAACCTCTTGACTTTAAGGATTTATGAACTGCAATCCAATGTAAATTAAATGAACAATAAGATACATGAACTATACAAAGGAAAACTCAGAAAGTGCAAAAATGAAGAATTTCCATTCTAACTGTATCCTAGTCACAAAAGATGATTGTAACAATATTCAAAGGCTTAAGGAATTTGGAATGTTGCCAAATTGCTCTATCATAAATTAAGAAATGCTGACTACTCTATTGCAGGATGTGGAATTAGAAGTTTTGAAAGAGGCGCTAAGAAAAAATAGATGTGAAATTTCAGCAGGAGTTGCCAGAAGATAATCTAAATTTCAAAATAGGTTAACTAAGGACTGGATGTATGGAAGGAGGATTTTCATGAAGAGCATTTCTTTAGCAGAACCATGATCTGAGTTCAAAGGGGGAAGAGCAAAAGTACACAGCCCCCTTATTTTAAGTTCAGTGAGAGGGGACTCAGGGAACCCCAGATATTAGGTAGATCCTCTTTGGATTGGGGTACTCACTGACACAAGCCTCGGGAATCTCAGGTCAAAGAGCTGGCCCAAGTGACCTGTGGCAGGAGAGGCTCTGTGTGTTAAGTGTTTGCCATCACCTGAAGGCATGAAGCCATGCCACAACAATA